TAACCAATAGCAACCGTATAAAATATAAAAATATATTTATATTTATTATTATTGTATCTATTATTTTAATAAAAAATCTCAATTTTGCAATAAAAAAGTTAAGGGCCACGTATCAAGATGAAATATAGCCTATTGATCTATGGGATAGAGTAGCTTTCTGATGGTAAAAAAAATTTAATTGGTCAAGTAGTTCCAGAGATTAAACCAGACAAATAGAACATTTTTCTTCTTTGTATTACCCAATTAATATAATAACCCATTTAACCTCAGTAGGGATTGAATTTTGAAAAATCCTTTCTTTTTGTATCATAAAATAACTTACTGACTAAATTTCATACTCATAGCTTCAATGGTTCTGGCTAGGCGATGATGAATCACCCATGACAAGTCATTATATCATAGATATAATAATAAGTTACCAATGTAGCTATGCCACACGTATGTATCAAAATATATTTACCTATCTATATACTATGTATATGCCTTTGTTTCTATGAAAAATTGTTTTTCAAGACCTGTTAGGTATATACATAATATTTCTTGGCTAATAGGGGTTTTCAATAAGAGATTAGGTATTCTTAATAATGGATAAATTTTGTTGCACTGGAATTGACTATATTGACGATATTACGCTTAATAATATTTACGCAGATACATGACACTTACCCGTAATAACTTTCTAATCCCGTTTGCTAAGACGCTTTCATACAGTTCTTTATAAGCATCGATAGTCATCTGGATTTCTTCGCGAATCTGGATTAACATGTGACCTCGTTCCGTACAGTTCAACGTTACTTGTCTAATTACTTCGTCTATTTAAACATGGATGAGATAAGCATTTAGTTAGGTATATGAAATAAAAACTTACAAAATTTTAAAATCATATAGATGCTTGATTTAAGAATGGTAATATTGTTGTAATTTGAAATATATATTTAAATTATACATATCACCTTCACCCTCAGACCTAAGGACTGTTCTGAAGTTTCTTTTAATAATTAATTAATCCCCCACTCAAGAGATGCTAAATACCTCGATAGGAGACTCACCTGCGGTCYTCATCTYAAAAACAAAAGGAAACAGCTTAACTCACGCCTACACGCCATCAGACCTCTTATAAAATCAAACACGAACCTGTCCTACCGTTTACTTTTATACAAAAGCCTCCTTCAACCAATATGGTCATACAGAATCGCCCTCTGGGRCACTGCCAAACCATTAARCCTTCGGACAATCCAAGCTTTTCAATCGATATGTTTTCGCATGGTCACCAAAGCACCTTGGTATGTCAAAAATGCCGCTTTACATCAAGATCTCAAAGTCCAATCCATCAACCAAATAGCAGTTACATTTTACTCAAGACTTCACTGCAAAATAATGCAATGCCTCCGAAATAAATTAATATCCAATCTTCGCTCAAAACATCTTCCCGGCAACCCTACCCGCCGACTAAACAGAAACTGGCTAAAATTTAATTATATTTATCTAACTAGATTTAAGACTCATTAAAAGCACGACCGGCTTTAGATAGAWTGGTTGCGCGTCGACGTATGTTAAGCTTACTGACTAAGTGACCATGCAATGTACTCACATGAATTGACTGACAGTTAGTGCCATCTAGCGTTGTATATGTATATGTTTTACTAAATCGTGCTAAAAACAGTAATTTTGTTTTTGGGTATCTCAAATHTCAATTWTTCACTGGCTGTTTCACTTTACTTCTTTGCACATTGTCAACCATTTACTATTCTATGGACTACAATGTTGTCGTTGTTTAATTTTAATACTTACTATTATACTAGGTACATATGTACAACACATTTTTATAGTAGGTAAATCGAGCAAATTAATTCCTAATATAATTAATTATACACTGAAATACAAGTTATAAGTTATAAGTGCAATAGTAATTATTAGGGCCAACAATTATATGCCCTAAAAATATATAAAATATGTATGCAGTT